TGACCCCATGATATCTGTGTATCACTACAGATGATACATGATGGCATCACTATCGACGTCCAAGAGCCATGACGCAGTGAGGGCCATCTTCTCCCTAAGGGATAGGGAGCTGGGAACTGAGAGAACCAGCATGGGCAATGCCCTCAACCTCAGCTCACTCTGGTGCTGTTCCGGACAAGAGTCAGGCAGCAGTAAAAGATCCATCAACAGCTTCATACACAGCAAATGCTGAAGCAGGTCCAGAGACCAACTAGGAAATCCACTTGGGAGCAAAAAGAGGCAGGACCAATGACAGGACCAGTCACTAGCTGGGCCTTAAGGAAGGAAACTGCTAGAGTGGGTGTGAGTAGCAGTCACAGCTTATCACAACTCTGCAGAGAGCAAATAATTACCACCTACATTGCACAGCATAGGACTTTATCAGCAACTTCAGGCTATATTAAATTAATTTAATACAAATAAACTAAGCTGTGAACTAAGCTGCTTCCAGTTTGTGGATTTCGCCCACCCTGCTGACTTGGAGGAAGTCATTGTCTTCAAGATAGCAGCTCCCAAGGGAAGAGGCCAGACAGAATTGAAAGAGACAGAAATCAGCTGAGGGTAGAAAATAGAGCAAGCAGCAGGTCAATGCAATACCCTCCTTGGAGTGGTAGTCCTTCTACAAAGGATACCAATGGCTCCTAATTGCTTTCAGTTTGATTAGTGTAGAGAAATAAGACAGCACTTCCCACCTTGCCCAGCCTCATCTGAGGGGCCACTGTTTTTCTTTCTGCTGTTATTTCCAAGTTAATACTGGAATGGTCATAGATCTTTCTTTGACTTGGCTCAGAAAACACGTAGGTGGAACTAGTTAGAAGCGTTTATTTTTGTGTTCCTTCAATGAAGACCTCTCCCATTTGCTTTGTTCCATCTTGTGAAGCCCCTTTTGAAGCAGGGGACTGTGGTCAGGAGGTGGAGGTTTGGTCTGGACCTTGCTTACATGACAATTCAACTTGATCACTCATCACTCACCTGGACCCTTGCTGGTGGTATCCTACAGCACTATACCACTCCTAAGTGGAATGAAATGTGGCTAAGGTGATGGCAGGAGATAAAGACTCATTCCCCATGGAAGCTGCTAGCTGAAAGTGAGCCTGCTGTGGTAGTAAGTGACACTGTATGTCTTGTTCCTGACTCTCACCTCACCCAGTTTTCACCCCCTTCTTTTCCTATGCTTCATTCCCCATCTGTTAGGACACCAAGGTCCTTGCAGCCTGGGATTCTCCAGTGAGTTCTCACGGGAACCGTCATGTTCTCAAGGCGAAAGTAAACATCCGAGGGCACTTACGTCCCAGCAGATGTTTGCTCTAGCCCCAGGCACTCTGTCATTCTCACCACACCACAACATGCTGATCATCCATCAGGCACAAGTGTACATAACACAGACTGTCTCCATCTCTCCTTCAGACAGGCCATCCTGAATGCTTGAACCAGAAATAAGGCTAAGATGATATACAGAAATAGTCAATGACTCAAAGATGATCTCAAAAGTCTCAATTTGTCATCAGGACAAATTTTTCCTGAAACCCACAGAATTAATTTGCATGGCTAGAAGGGAGGACCACAACAGAATAACAAGGCCTGCCTGACCCACTGTGCAACACTGGAAAGTTTCCTTTTAAAAGTCAGCAGGGCTTGGAGGTCTCTCCATTAAGACCACTTTTATTTTGATATAACTGCACTGGCTTCAACCTCATCACTGAATTTGCTATAGAGATTTGAAAGTCAAATCAGATGTTTTGGTCATCGTGTTTCACTTGTTGACTGAGGCTTCTCAGAGAATGCTTACAGACATGGTGTTCTGTATAAAATCCATGTGCTGGAGAATAAGGCAGTGATTTTGATTGTTATCTGAGAGTCATTGTAATGGGTTTAGAGAGAAGAGGATGAAAGTTATTTTCCTACAAGGGAGGTTGAGGATTTGTCATTGTTCAATTTCCTTAAAATACACCTGTGAAAGCTGGGTCATGATCATCAACATGACCATCACCAGTAGGCACCAGCTATGGCAGCTTGATCCCCCTGTGAGTCTTGCCTTTGGGGGGATCCTTGAGGAAGCCATAGTATGACAACTCACTGTCTGAGATATTGTGACAGCACCTGAAGGAGGATGTTAACAGGAAGATCTTCTTTCTATTTCCAGGTCTGCACTCCCTGCCAGCCTAGTGCAGATTCCTTAGAGCACTTTGCACAGTACCTGTGTGTGGACCACTGAATGGAGCTCCAGGGTTTATGTATGGGAGCCTTATGTCCTGGCAAAGTCAGAGGAGAGCTGATCAATACAGTCAGCACAGCCAGGAGGGATCTTCTCCAGCCAGGTGCATCTGGTTGATGCATGTAGTGTGCAACTCATTCTGACTTTATTCTCCTGATTCATTATGGGTAGAAATTATTGACATTGGCTCAATGATAATTAATGAAAAAAGAAAAAACAGAAATACATTTTGATTTTGCTCTTTAAATACTTACTTTATTGAGGAGATATTACTATCAATCAGCCCTGATTTTCTACAGAAACTGCTATACTCAAACAGATCATAGTCAAAGTTGCAACATCCAATGATGTCCTGGAAAGCTACTAACACCAACTCACCGTTCCGCCTATGTGAAAGGAAACAATATAACTGGAAAACCTCCTATAACACTGCATCTCACTGGTAGAAATCTCAGTGTCACTAAACTAGGTTAATGTAAAGGAAATAAATCTCTCCCGTCTGGTGATTACATTCTCCCCATTGAAGGGCTCTGCTGTACCTCTGCCCCTCAGCAAGCTGTGTAGAAGTTGTTTTGCTTTGTCGGTTGAGCTCAACTCTATTTTTCCAGAGGAACACAGTTTACCATCCTTTCAGATAAGCACCTAACCACCATACTGCCCAGACCAGTTCTTCTGACAAGGCTATCCCTTGGAGCTCTCCTACCATGTCTTAAAGTTGTTGTTTTCCCTTATATGTCTCCATTCTCCTCCCCAGAAAAGAGTCTCTGCCTGACCAGAGGGATTTGATGGGGAGTAGATGTGGGGGTAATATCAGTCAGTTTGGCTAAGATTCATAGGCGAGGGTTTGGATAGGCAATGGACCAAGGTAGGCTCCTTCAGAGACTGAGTCAGAGCTTATTTTGACATTTGAAATCACCTCCAGGTAATGCTTGCTACATACTGACAATTTTTGAAAGCTGAGGGAGTCTAAACATCAAAATTACAGTGCTTTTAGGCTTTTACAGTTGTACTCAGTGTTAGGTTTGAGTCATCACAACAAAACAACTGAACACAACTGTGCCCAAGCTGGTGGCAAAGGCAAAGCTCAAGTATAATTTGTCCTGCTCTCTTTCTGCCCTTCGTGACTCAGTTTCCCTGCTTGGATAGGAAATTGGCCTGCTCCAGAGCAGGTGATGAAAACAAACAACAGTTTGGGTGTGAGGTGCTGCAGCAGGTAGTTGCCCAAAATCATGCTGCATGATTTTCAAATGCCTCCAGAAGCCTTGGAGCATGTGGGAGAAGTAGGCAGTGTGTCCTTTGGGGATGGAGATGAGCTTTCCTTTCCTGTAAAGCATCACAGTGGCTCTAACAGGCACTGCTTCACCATGGAATGTTTCACCCCTTGCCTCTTGGACCCTATGTATTACAGAAACATGCTGAACCCTAATATCCATCTTTTTTCTGCCATGTCCTGATGGCTACATAGCAGTGTAACCAACCATTCATTGCAGGGATATCTTTGGGAGTGACTCAGGGGATCATGGACTCCCTCCATAGCTTTGCTTCCCTGGAGACTTTCAAGGTATAGAGATCTCACTTGCCAGGGAACACTCAAGCAAAATCATTATCAGCAAGCAATAAAGACCACTGAATTGTCCATGCTTTTGAAAAGATGCGTAGTCCACTTACAGCTGCAAGAGAATGGGAAAACACCCCAACAAGGAAACAGTATCCAGTCCTCAAGTCCATAAATTTTGAAGCCCTTTTCAGCTATTTCAGTTCCTGGTATTGAATTCCATAATTTTGAAGGCCTTTTCAGCTATTTCAGTTACTTGTTTTGAATTCCATGAATAATGTCCAACAAAGTCGAAATCCAACCAAGAGCTTCACAGGAAAAGGCAATTAAAACAGTTAGTTAAGAATCAGCACCAGTGTAACTTCTTATCCCAAGCTGGTGAAGTGAGTGATGACTTTGGGACTTGAGTGGCAAAGGCAGCTCCTGAGACATCAAAGATGTAAAAACACTTCATATTAAGAAAAACAATTCTCGTTTGCTCCTGGGCTGTAGGGCTGTGATGATACAAGGCAGAATACAATCTGCTGGCTTCTTGGCTAGTTTTAGAAAACAATCATTAATTTTGTGTAGCTTAGTTTTAGGGGCTTGACTTAAGCCAAATTGAGAGCCTTGTTTGAAGCACCCAAGGCTTAGTACTTGCTGGTCACTATCTCTCCCAAAACTGTAGAGCCAGATTGACCAGCAATTCAGGTCCATCAGCCTAATTGATGAAGGTGTGACTACAGGAGGGGGAAGAGCAGAGCAGGCTCTCACTTTAAACCCTTGATTATATGGGATAAGCTCTCCAGCTCTCTCAGAAACACTGTGATATAATCAAAATAAATACCTCCCAGGTCCCTTGGCTAAGTTTTGCCCATACAAGACAATTTGGGCATTTTTGAATGCTTTAGAGAGACAGACATCCTATTACTAGGATCTCTCCACCTTCAAGTACTCTGCTGTGAACCAGAGATACCCTGCGGGTGGTCCTCAGAAAACAACTGTAGAGGACTGGTTTCCAGTAGTGCTCTTCCCTCTCTACCACACTCAGGTTAAATTCCAGCATAGCTTCTACACACATAAGATCAGCAGAATTTATTTACATTCCCTTTCATAAAAGGCCTTTTGCCCAGATGTGAGAACCATGATGGATCAACTCTTGTCATCAATTTTGTCAGGGATCAGCACTCTGTGCTCATTGTGGTTGGGACTGCTATAGCTTCTTGTGGCCTCCCCCCATTACATGCGTGGGACAGATCCTTCCCGTATGTGGATTTTCTGATGCCTTCTCAGGTACTTCTTCAATCGATAGCGTTTCCCACACACCTCGCACTTGTAGGCCCCACCTCGGGAGTGAAGCAGCTGGTGTTTAATGAGGTGCCACTTCTGGGGGAAGCATTTCCCACACTTGGTGCATTTGCAAGGTCCCATACGAATGTGGATTGTTTGATGTCGGAAGAGATTGGCCTTCTGGTTGAAGGTCTTCCCACACTCAGGACACTGGTAGGGCTCCTCCTTGGTATGGATACTCTGGTGCCGAACCAGATTTGATCTCTGTGTGAAGCTCTTCCCACACTCAGTGCATTTAAATGGCTCACTTATGTGGACTCTTTGGTGTCGGATCAGCTTTCGGCTCATGCGAAAGCTCTCCCCACACTCACTGCACTTGTATGGCCCCTCACTTGTGTGAATCTTCTGGTGTCTGGTCAGGTTTGATTTCTGATTGAAACTCTTCCCACACTCGGGACAGGGGAATATCCGTTCACCTCTAGGAACTCCCTTTGCTGTGGGATGTTTCTTGGACTTGGTTTGCTCTTGAATCTCCAGCAGCCCTTCTTTGGTGGGCTGAAGGCATTTCTTCTGCTTCCTCTTTGGGCTCCATCTTTCCCAGTGGTCAGCCTCCACACTGGCTTCCTTTTTAATTTGGATCCTCTGAATGTCACTGAGGTTTGTTCTCTGCCCATAAGGGATCCCATACTCAATGATTTCCTGTGGTTCTTCCTTCACCTGGAGCACTCGGTTGCCAGCTGTGGGGACTTCTTTCTTATGCTGGGCACCTCCTTCCTTTTTAACTTGGCTTCCATATAAAGTCATCAATGAGCTCTTTGGATCAAAGAGTTTTCCGTAGCCTGGGTTTTCTGATGAGTCTTCTTTGATACAAAGTTTTTGGCAGGCTATTGCAGGGATATTTACTTCACCTTCAATGACTGGTTCTGTTTCTTCCTTCATCTGGATTTTCCAAGGAGTCCTCTTTGGATTAGATAGGTTTCTAGGTATACTACACTCCTGAGCTCCCTCTCCATTGCAGGACATGTTCTCCAACACATTGTCCTCCAACATGAAGGCCAAGTCAGGCTCTTCTTTAATCTGGATGATCCGGAGAGGAATGCCATTGATGTGTCCCTCCAGCAGCTTTTGCTTAGCATGGTTTCTCTGGTGAACGTTGAAATACCTCTTTGTGCTCAAACTCTTCCCACACTCTGTGCAAATGAAGGGCCCCCCATGGAGATGTATCTTCTGGTGGGCCAGCAGCGTGGCACTTTGCCCAAAGCACCTGCTGCAATCAGGATATTTGAAGGGCTTCTCTTGCTTGTGGATTTCCTTGTGTGCAGTGAGTGTCCCCTTCTTCACAAAGCTCTTCCCACACTCCATGCAGGCGAATGGTCTCTTCTCTGTGTGGGTCCGCATGTGGATGTTGAAGTATATCTTCGTGCTTAGGCTCTTCCCACAGTGGGCACAAAGGAAGAGGCCACCCTTGGTGTGTGTCTTCTGGTGGGCAGCCAGGCATCTCTCCAGGTGGAAGCAGCGCCCACACTCCCCACAGCAGAAGGGTCTCTCTCCTGTATGGATGCTCTGATGGGTCATGAGGTGGCCCTGGGTCGTAAAGTGCCTCCCACATTCCCTGCAGGTGAAGATCTCCTCTGTTGTGTGGATCTCCTGGTGCCTTTTCAGGTTTCCCTTCTTGCTGAAGGATTTACCACATTCCAGACACAAGTGAGTCTTCAACACTATGTGCTTATCCACGTTCTTCATGACAGCACTGCCCTGATAGGGCTGCCAAGTAGGTATGAAAAAGCCACAGTGTTATGAGGATGGACTAGCTGGGAGGATATGAAAATGATCAGCACTCAAGCATCAAAATGTACGTTAATGGATACACTTTGGTCCCCACAGCAAAAAGGTGGTGCTGCTGTTCTCCAGGAGTAGGTCGTCTTCATTTCTCAGTCACCTCTTACCTCAGCTGCAGACATAATGTTTTAAACTCCATCTCCTGTTTCTCTAACCTCCTGTTATGGAGGTTCCCAGGCACTTACGGAAACTTGAGTTGTTGGACTGCAAAAAAAAATAAAGAGAAAATTGAGGCATTATTTCTTCTCCACAAATATCAGGCACTGTGTGAACACAATAGGTGTCACCTTGGCTGCTACACTGGAGACTGAACCTAAGACATTTGAAGCCACAGTCTAAGCTGCACTCCCAACAGAGGATGCTAGAACAAACTAATTATTTCCCCTGTCTGTGGGGAGAATCTGTAACATACTCAGACCCACAATGGTTTTGGCTGTACTACAGCTCCTCTAGTGAATTGTGTTCAGTGTAACTCGCTCTGGTTTAGCAGCCCTTCTGTTGAGAAGATTTATAAATTAACAGGCTAATTAGTTAATGCATTTTGGAGTAACTGTTGCAACTAGTCCCATTTCTGAAAAGTGACCGTGGAGGAGCCAAAATTCTCCAAACCTAGAAAAACAAACAAACAAACTTGGCATTCCTTGCAAAATTGCAGTGTACTGTTTTTGTGTTGTCAGGGACAGGCATGTCAGTGCTGTTCTCATTTTTCAGCTGGAGTACTAAGGACTGGGAAGCTTTAACCTGTCACAGGAGGCTGGATCAATAGTCTGGGACCTATAATTTCCATTCCTACTTTTTCTAAACACTGTGTTACATTAGACAGTGTTACATAAGCACAAACACTGTCTCCTATCAAGACTGTGAGTTCCGTTCGGAAGGAGCCTGAAAGACCAAGAGGAGAAAGATATGGATGTCCAAGGTGCCTATCAACACAAGTTATGCATGGGATAGGTGATTTGGAAATCTTTAAAGGAGAAGCTGTATAACTCTCTAAATAATGCAGTGAGTTTGCAGCAGTACACTCCTCAGATAATTCCTCAAATAACAGGGATCAGTGTGGAAAATGAAGATGCAGACAGGGAAAGCTATTTTGGCCTCGTTTGTTCCACTCGTTCTCTCTTCAGCTAACCCAGTCGGATTGGCGCAGAAGCCAATAAGATCCCTGATAGAAGACCAGCGGTGCTTCTGTCCCAGCTGAATTCACTACATGGTTACAGAAACCAATGGTGAGAAAAAAACTCAACAGCAGAACTTCTCTGAGTCAGGAAAGATGATGGACACATGCTTGGAGCAGGATCTGGGGCCAGTGTTTGCCAGTATAGGGGAGACCCTGTGGAGAACTGAGATCGCCTCTCAAGGGGCAGGTAGCTGCAATGGGTTTTAATTCATCAGACAAAGCCTCAGCATCAGCCAGGCTCCAAGGAAGAATTCAAAGGCGTATTTTTACTGAGGAAGGTGTTTAACCCTCTGAGCAGGTTGCAGAGGTGGCCCCCCTGCCACTGAGGATCCTTCTGCCAAACCTGGGTAATTTTCTGAGCAATGCACTTGGACACGGTAGCAGTTGGGACAGGCTGGTGTGATGGCCTGTCCCTGCATATTGGATGTTCAGAGCCACCCCTTTGAGACAATAACTTGCTGAACAGCAAATTCACAGCAGCGCTTCAAATGCCTCTGAGTTTGGCAAAAGGAACACATTTCTGAACTCAAATCGCTGTAAAAAAAAAAGAAAAAAGAAAAAAAGAAAATTCTTCTTATTTTTTCCATTATTTTTTCAGCATCCAGATCCTGCAGATTCAAATCCTGATTTTACGTCCAGCTCTGCAATCCCCCAGACTTAGGGTTTGAATCAAGGGGAGAGTCAGATCTCAAGAAATTGCTGCTTCTTTATTTCCTCTGCCTGGGCAAATAGTCATAATTTGGGCTGAGAGCATCTTACCTGAGCGAGCCATTAGTCCTCATTGGGTGTTTGTCTCCTCCTGGGGAGCCAGCAGCACCAGAGCGCTCGCGACCTGGCTGCAAATTGTGTTGTGCCGGGAGCTGGGCTGACCTGAAGGAAGTCAGCGCCGTGAGAGCTACCGGAGGAAGGGTGAAGCTCAGCAGAGACAAAGTGCAGAGGTTGAATGAGCAGCGGGAGATGGAGAGGATGCTCGTGATGTGCACCACCGAGACGGAGTTGTCACACGGCCACGATGGCATTTGCAGGCTCGCAGGGAGGGAGAGGATGGGAAATTCTCCCCAGTGTGTCTTTATTCTGGACCACTATATTTGTGGGAAGCTGGATGGGTCCCGGGTTCGCACTGCCTTCTGGGAATTGTAGTTCTCGGAAGAAGTCTTGGTCCCTGGTCCTGCCTGTGCTGCTCTGAATGCCAGTGAGACAGGATCAGGCCATTTCTGCCTTGTCCCTGCTGAGAACATTGGCTTATTTTTTTGCTGCAGGAAGGAAAATAGCCTGCAGTGCTGCAACCACCTTTCCTTCCTCCTGGGCTGTTCATGTTTGGGACTCACTTTAGGACGCATCACCAATGGAAAGGTGGTATATCCCAGACTATAGGAGCGTTTCTGTGTCCAGAGTGGCCTGCAAACCCATAGAAAGAGGCGGCAGCTGAGAGTGCTGATCAGGTAGCAACAAAGGAGCTTCTTTTTAATGATCGGTGAAAGTACAAAGAGACTGTGAAGATTATACAAGGGTGGACATTGAGGCATGTGGTCTGGATTTGGTAGAGTGATGAGCACCATCTGCTGCTGAATCTCACAGGACTTCCCCAAAAAAAGTGACTTTCCCAGACTTTACCAAACCTGAACCTGCAGAAAGAGGCTGAGAAACCCACCAGGAAGCTCTACTCCAGCCCGTTTCTCTGGTAGGTTTTTAGGAGCATGAGGGAACGCTACTCCACCATGACAGTTTCTTGGGGCACAGGTTTTCCCACATCTCTGAGGGAAGGTGGGCTTGTCAACTCGTATCCCATTCCATCGAAGGAAGAAGATATATTAATCACAGAATCATGAATGAATCTAATCAGAGCTTGATGAAAAGAGAAGACCAAACATGCCATGGTGCAAGACCCAGATTCTGCTCAAACTATTGAAATGGACTCAGGAATCCCCACGCTCATTCCCAGAAGAACTTCATAGCCAGGGTTGTTGGAGCAGGGTTAGAATTCCAAAATCGTTTCTTCCTAAGCCCAGTTTGGAAATGATGGGTACCCAATAAAGGGAATTCTTAGTGTCCACAAGAGTTCAGGAAAAGGAGGTGAAATGCTTTTCACTTTTATTGGACCAGTCAGAAGCAATTGATACCCCATGGTTTTTGTAACTGAGTGAGCCAGGCTCTCCATTTTCCTTAGCCAGAATCTTGTTTAAAGTTGGCAGCAAAAGCTGAGCCTCCAGACCAGTTTCCCACTGGTGCCCACGACCCAGGCCATCTACTCCTCTGGCCTTTACAAGTGCCCCATGTCACTGCTGTTGGTGGCATCCTGGTCTGAAAGGAGTCTGTGCACATTTGGAAAGCAGAGCTGGCTCAGTGAGAGCTGCAGTGTGAGCTGCAGTGACTCCGACACTGCAATGTGCCACTAGATGCCAGTGAAAGCTTTTAACAGTCTGCTCTCACTTAGAGCACCAGACATTTTGGGCAATTTGATGTGTTTTATGATTTTTTTTTAGGAGTTAATCCTTCACTTTTAATCTAACAAAAGCCTTCTTGCCTCTGGGAATTTTGGTAGCATGTATAAATATATGTGTGAATGTGTGTGTGTACATCATTTTTTTTTCTGTTTCTCTGAGTATGTGTATGCTTTTTTTTTTCCTCCATTTTCTGTATTCTTCAGAGGAGAACTTCTTCCCAGAGCTTCTTCTGAAGACAGAAACCCAACCCCACGTTCCTTTCTTCACCCCGTTTCCATCAAGCACACCAGCTTCCTGAATCCTTCACTTGCAAAGTCCTTTGGCCACATCAGGTTCTGCTGCCCTGACCTGGACACTCCATGTCCAAGCAGATCGGCCTATCCCAAGGACACTTGGAAGGAATGCAAAACCCAGCACCAATCCAGGGTGCAGGAGGCCTGTGTGTCTATATAACTTGGCCAAGGGGGAAAGTGTCCCTAGCCCTAGTGATCCTGTAGCAGGAGGATGGTTGTGTCCCGACATACATTTTGGTTCTATATCCTACTCCTGTGCATGGTGCACCTATTCCTCTCTGAAGCACCCAGTGCTGGTTGCCATTGGAGACAAGATACCAGAGTCAGCAGAATAAAGGTCTGATCCAGTTTGGCAATTACTGCGTTGTTTTTTCACACAAATGCAACTTTATGTTCGACTGGCCAACTGCATCCAACAAGGCTGCATCTGATAGGAGAAGCAAGAGCTAAATTTAAATCAAGCTGTCTTGTGGTCCAGTAACTAATTAATTACACAATGAAATAAAAAAGTTTTGGCAAAAAAAAGGAGGAGGAAAAATGAAACCTTCTCTCCATTTTACAGAGGAAATACTGCAGCAGGTTTTATTGAAGATGCCACTGTTGATTACACCAGGAAGCTTCAGGATACTACGTTTTCTTGTTGTTTGGAGTGCACACAGTGCAGGGAAGCTGCAGAATGCGACGTGGAGGGATAAAGTAAGAGAAAGCACAAAAGTTGTTTGTTTAAGTGAGTCCGTGGTTGTTCCCAGGATCTATAAACATGATACATTCCTGCTGAATCTGAGCAAGACCCAGGCTGCCTCACTTTTTCGTAGACTGTTCTTCATTAATTTAGAAAACAACACCTACAAAAAGCAAACATGAGAAGAGAGAATTAAGTGTTTAAATGACAAGTGGTTTTTCATGTTATTTCCCCCCATCTCCCCTTTTCCTCTAATTACTTTTGAGCATCTGTTGAGGAATGAAATCTTTTTGTTTCTCAGCCCATAT